CTAATCTAGCTCGAGTCGAAAACGGTGAATGTATAGAGAGGACGAGGTCTTACCGCCATGCCGATGCGCTCCGGTGGAGGTCTGCAGTCGCTCCAGTGGTTGCCGCCGCCGTCTTGGATCGATTCGCACTAGAGCTCAAGTGGTCACTGCCGTCGGTGTGAGTGGGGAATAGGGGAGAGAGCAGTGAGGAAAGGAGGTGAGGGTAATTTATGACGACGCGTCTGAAAACAACGCGACTTCTCAAGACCGCACCCACGCGTGCAACCGCCCAACCAACGTGCCTAGGGGTGCATCGCGCGGGTCTGGCTCCACAGAAACGGCCAATTTGGGTGTTCCTCTGAATGCAGGCCCAGAGGTGCTTTAATGTTCGTGCTATGCAGACCCAGCAGTGAATGCGGTTAACCAAACGGACTATTTTCTTTCCATGCGGGCCTGGCTAAGGTAAATGCAGCCTATCAAACACGTCCTTAGCAAGACATTTGGTTTCAAAGCAGACTGTAGAAATATAACTAATCCAACACACGTGTACGTAGTGGTAGATAAGGACTAATCACAACACACACGTAAGTACAGTAGATAAGATTTGTTTTCGCATCAAAAAAATAAGATTTGTTTCTACTCACACTGTTGTGTTGGTCCCACGCTAGCAATTTAATGCTGACTCGGACCCTTGCATGATTAAGCACAGCAGCTACCAACCACACCACACCACACTACATTTCTCACGCGCAAATCGTCTCGTGGTTCCTTTCTTCCCCTCCGTCCACCCAAAGCTTCCGCTCTTCGAATCGGTCCTCCAATCCATGGCGACGCTCGCCCTGCCGCCCACCGCCGCCACCCTGCCGGCCGAGGAAGACCCGCGGTACGACCTCCTTCCTTCTCTCTGATTCTTCTCAATTCATGGTTGATTCGGGAATGAAATTTGATGCCCCACTTTTTTTTTTCTGATTTGTGCGATGTTCCTCTTCCGGTGCAGCGCAGGCGAGAAGCCATCTGCCGACGACTCTGCCGCGGATCCGAGCGACATCGACTCCGGGTACGTCTCTTCGGTTATTTTGCGCGCTGGGCTCAAGTCAACCCGTGGATTTTGTGTAAGATGGTTCGATTGATCTCTGTTTATAGGTGGGTTTTCCTCGGGAAGTCTGATGTAGTGCCGGCGGACCAGGCCGCGGCCGCCATCGATGCCGCGGGTCACCGACGCCTCGGCTTCTCGCCACTGCCGATGTTACCTATCTGGTGGGGATTTACGGACTCAGTCCCACATACTGTACCTCTGTAATATGTACGCCTCCTGTGAGATGAATCGCGGGTTCGCGACTGATCATCCCTTCTCTCATGCTCTTTTTCTCAGGGTGCAGATGGTGCTCGGAGGCGTAGTCTACACGGCCGTGCCGTTCTACAAGAGGGCCAGACAGCTTGAAGGTAAACACATACACTCCAATACTACTATTTCGTCTCGATTTTGATCAACGCGGTACGACTACCAATCCGGCAGACAGCTTAGAAATTAATTGACAGAACCTCTATGGATTGGCAACACATGAACAATAGATAGGCACTGAAAGAGGGATGGATTTCAGACACCAACTCATCAATTCGGATACAAGTTCTTGGGATCAAACTAATTCTGCAAAGTAGCTAGGGTTCTAAGCTAGACCACACCTGATATTAATCCTGCAAAGTCATATTCTTCAGTCGACAGAAGGTTCAGACTTTCAGAGTCCTGGCATTAATCTTGCAAAGTCCATGAGTTCATGAATAATTTTTTCTTGGCATTGGCATTTGAAATCAAGCTCTCGCTGAAATCATTGATTTGTAATATTAGACAAGGCGATTGAAAACGTGGAAACTGCTTTGGATGTTTTGGAGCGTGCCTCTGAGGTGACGGAGAAGTTCGCTGCTAATGTGGCCAATTCCCTACCGGAGGATGGGTCCCTGCACAAGTTGGCCGAGGAGCTTGAGTACATTGCGGAGGAAGTCGATAAGGATGCACACAAGGCTGAAGTCATGATTAAGAAGGTTCGTGGTGACTTATTCATGTTCCTACTTGATGATGTCCTTGCTTACGTTATATACACATTTTAAGGATAATAAACAAGTATGCATGATGTTCTTGCTTACATTGTATACATACATTTGAAGGATAATAAACAAGTATGCATATTCAAAAAATAATAATAAACAAGTATACATGTGTGAACATTGAATTTTAGTGAAAGCTACTCATAGGAATAGCATTATATGGAACTATACAATAGCAATTTCCGACCAATTCAGTCTATTCCTGGCTTTAAGTTAGTTGTTGCTTGTAAGGAACCAAGGAATTATTCAATAACATTTCTGCAGTTCTGCTGCTACTGCAAACAGAAGCATTGGAAGACTTTGGGATGGGGAAAGCATGTGATTACTTTACTTGGTAGTGAAAATAGACTGTTTCTATGGTTTCTCTCCAAACACGCCTTTGATAGCTCAATTTCATATATTGTGCAGTCATGCAGCTAAAATCGAATTGTACTAACCTTCCATCCTGTTAAAGACAGTTTTGTCTCTACCGTCCCTACTACCATGCATTACGAAACTTCCCTGCTGACCCTCTAGTCATTGCAGATTGAAGCGCTCAGCGACAAGATCGACGCCGCGGTGGAGCCTGTCATCGAAAACCCCGAGGAGGAGTTCAAGCCAAATCCAGCATCCCACGCTGGATCAGACGCCGAGAAATGACCGTTCACATAAATTGGAGGAAAACACTGCCCAAAGTGTCCCCTGTTGTACATATATTGCTGTTTTTTCTTTCCTTCTTTCTAAGTGCCAACTTGTAAATATGTTCGTTGTGCCCTATGAACTAGAAGGACCCCATGGTTACAGTAAGAAATGGTGGTGGTGTGCTTGGTGCCCGGATCTGAAGCACCCTGTAATCCTGATAATAGTAAGAACACTGCATCTGAAGAATGGATATGTTTCTGTATGCACTACATTTCCACCCAGTACATTATGCGGTTACGTGCCTAGATAGTACTGAGTACTGTATTCTATGGAGTACGCTGAGGGCACACATCATAATTGTTTGGCAGGTGCAACTACTCAGGCGCAGTGTTCCGACTTCGGAGCGATGGTAATTGTATGCCAGACCACTGTGCTAAGTAGGCCTGTGCCTTGTTGATTGACCTCAGACTACCTATAGTGGAGAGTAACTTAGAGCAACTTTAGCGCAGCGACTCATTTCGTCTACGCGTGTCTGTTTGGGTCTAAACAGGGCCAACATGATGACCCAAACGGATGCGTGTCTCGCCTAGTCCTTCCCCTGGCCCGTCAGTCGGTGGCACATTGGCCATTCCATCTTTCTCC